ACTTAACCAGATGTGCAGGTTTCATGCAGTTTTTAACAGTTAAGCCTCCATGTTCACTGACTGTGGAGATTTTAGACCTGTTTCCTCTCATGATTTCATCTTCCTGTGACCTGAGACAACTGTTATTGTAGCTTGTGATTGGTTCATTGATGGTGATGTGACAGAGAGGTTCAGGGTTATTATCTTGTAACATCCTATGGAAAGCCCATAATAAATGAAAAGTTATGCATGACAAAAATAGGAATACTCACGATAATCAAAAAAACAAACATGATATATTAAGTCAAAATTTTGATCATGACTAACTTTATCCATTTTGTTTTTCTAATGGGCGTCATGAATTTCCCCTAGGGCATAAATAAAGTATCTATCTATCTATCTATCTATCTATAGATCTTTTCTTCATAAATTCATGAGGACCAAAATATACAATACCTTTGTTTAGCACTCAGTTTCCTGCTCAGGTAGATTTAATAGTTTGATGGTTAATGTAAGTGAAAAATGACTTCACCTCAGTTACGTCTTTACTCTTTCCATCCTCTCTGGTTAAAGGTTAAAGGAAACTCTGCAGTCTGAATAAACCACTCCAGTTGGTGTGAAGCACCTGAGATGTGGGTGTGAGAGAAGTCCATTATGCTGCGTTCACAGCTTCCAACATTCCTGAATAATGACAGAGTTACAGTGAATCAGTCTCAGTGTACAAATCATTTCAGCATGAACAGATTCTGGTTTTAATCCAAGTAGAGCTCTCGTGGTGATAAAACAAATCATATTTGTCTTATGTGAAATTGTCACCTGATAGAAATGTTGATCTTCTCCCACATTCCATTAACTTGCATAAAACAATTGTGTTTGGACAGCCACTAAACAGGTTCATACTGTTCTTTATGAATCTTGGCTTTAACACTAGTTATTATAATTATACCTTTAAATACTCTCATTAATTCTTATAAACAGACGCTGTATTTTAAATAATGTTTATCGCAGCTCAGCAGTCCAGACTCTTCTGCTGCATACACTTGCTGTTCTGACAGAATGAATATTTGCACTTTTCATTTCCATGGCACTTACACATACCCCTGATTGTTCAATGTGTCTTTGTTTTACAGACAACCTGCATAAGCTTGTACAAGAAGAAATGAATGTTAGAGGGGTGAGGGGACATGTTTGACATAAAATAAAAATTAAAAAGTCTTCTACTGTGATTGACACAATGTTAACAATGTTTTGACTGAACTTATTAATACATTTTAAAAAAAGGGATAAGAATTTTTTTCTGCTATAGTGACAGCAGTGACAACAAAAAAATAAAAACACACACAAAAAATACATTACACATTATTTTGAGACATGAAGCTGAATAAACCAGCTTTCTAATCGTCATTCACTTACTCACTCACAATAGAAATGATCACTCAACAGTCGCTGTGTTTGAGGTTTTTTTGTACGTTTTGTGTTTTTTTTCTTTATTAAAGGAAAGCATAATTACTACAAATTACAAATAACACTAATAGCGAATCACATCAGCCTACAAAGCAGATATTATGAATATTAAATGATATTATACAAGATCTCATTCAAGTATTTTACATTTTTCCGTTTTATATATTTTTTTGTTCCATTTTTCCTCATTTTCATCTTTTTTTCCTCATGACAAGCCTAGGATATTGTAATGTAATGAACTATTTTAATGGTTCATATACAGTTATTTGTTATTCATATGGCTTTATGGAATTTTGTCCTTTTTTTCAGTCTCCAGACATCATAACCAGCCATATTCCTCTGAGCAACATCACAAACCCCAGTCGGGTACTTTCTCTTTTTCTTGAATTCTGCTCCTCCCTCTCTTCCCCACGTCCATCATTCATCTCTCCAGTGTCCGGCCATCTGGCCAAGTCCATGTAAAACTGACAAGCGGAGGGTGCAGCGCCCCCTACAGTTTGTTTGGACAGCTAGCAGCAGTTCTAAGCTGATATAGAAGGCTGAAAACTCCCAAAACACCTGAAACCCCCAAATGTCCAGTGCCAGGTGATGGCAGGCGATGATCACATTAGAGGGAGGGATCATGTGACTGTCCCAGGAAGAAGTCCCCCTAGTGGCAGCCAGTCACGTCTGCAGCCACACACCAGCTCACCCATTCAAAGGCTTTCGCTGGTTTTTGGGAAATGCATGGAGTTTTGCTTTTCTGAATATGTGGTAGCTCTTTTTTTTTTTTCCAACTTTAAACCTCCGGTAAACAACTTGATGCATCAACTGTGAGCTTCTGAAACTGATCCAAATCTCCCTGAAGTTAAACCAACATGACATTAAAAGGAAAAAAATTAAAATAATAAAAAAAAAAAGTAAGTACAGCTTTGCTTTGCATTTTCATGTTTCCAACAATTCTGGGTTTAGAGGAAGAAACTGAAGAACGGAAACACTGACAAAACAATGCGATATCCACCTCCACTCTGCTGGAACATCAACCAACAGGCTGAATGATTTTTTACACCAAAGGACCTAGACTTACAAAAAAAAGAAAAAAGAAAAAAGAAAAAAAAAAAAAAGCAGGCACATGTGTCCAACACAGTTCCATCTAGAAATGTCAGGCTTTTTCCAATTTAAGTCCTTTGAACATTTGAAATGATGTGACTGTACTCTACAGCAAAAACTGCAACAAACTTTGCAGTATGTCAAGGGAAAATAGGTCACTTCATCAAGCATCTGGATAACCATATGTGTATTAAGACTCAAGATTTTTTTGTCCCAGAACTTCAAACTTCAATTCAAACTCCCAAAACGAATCAATTTTATCCATTTTTAGACTTTGCAGATTGTAGAAAACCTGGAGATTTAAGAATTACTTTGAGTCGCGTTAACAGCTTGTTGGAAAAGCTGCTCTGTCATCTTGGCAAAAAAGAGCAAATTAACTGTGATTTCAACATGAAACACTAAAAGCACGTAGATACAGAAACAGATTTTGCTTTTGCGCTGAATACCTGTTGACGCCCTGATGTCAACTTTCCCTTTTGTGATGTGAACTATGTTCCCGTCTCTGAAATCCACAGATGTTTGAACAGCCTGACACAAACCCTACTTCCATCATAACAACGCGAGAAACACTGCAAATTGAAATTAAAAAGCATTAAAAGATAATTATGAGACCATTAAAAAAAAGTTAGAGTACGTACACGTAAGGCAAATATATAATCTGTTCTATAAACAATAAAACAAGTAGCAGGGAGCTGTAATCATTTCTCTTCATCTGTCAAATTCACATTTACATTAATGGAGGAAAAAAAAAAAAAAGAAAAAAAAAATCACCATTTGATATCATCAGAACTTGAGTTGGATAAAGATTTAACTATCCACACAGCTGACTGTAGGAAGAGTGATGGCTGAACAGAACGGAGTGTGAACGAACAACGCAGTCTTACAATTTGTCCACAACGAGGCAAGACATCGAGCTGTGTGTTTAGTATTCATCTTGCTCACGCTGCTACATCTGTACCTGTGTGCGACTACACCTCTCAGTGTTCATGCCTGTAACTGAAGTGTGTATCTGAAGTGTGTGTGTGTGTGTGTGTGTGTGTGTGTGTGTGTGAGAGAGAGAGAGAGAGAAAAGGGAAGAGGCGGCAAGCGCCTGAGGCCCAGTCAGCCTCATTAAGCAGCGGGTCGGCCGAGCGAACAGTGAAGTTGGAGGCCAAACGTCTGAGCCTCATTAGCGTCTCCACCCAGAGCACCTGCGTCAGAGCACGACAGCCCTCCTAACAACCATTGTTTCTTCAAGTAATCCAGATTGATGATTCCAGTCCTGTAGTGTCACTGATGGTCGACTGATGGATGGATGTCAAGCGGATGGATGAACGGATGGATGCAGCTCGTCTGACAGGGAGGTGGAGGGTGGGGGGGTGGGGCAGAGAAAGTCAGGAAGCACCCACAGGGAGATCCATTGTGGGATCGTCCCTTCCCAACTCCCCACCCCACTCAAGTGTTTTCTTTTTTTTTCCTTTGGGGGAGGGGGCAAACTTCAACCAGGTTGACGTGTTTCAGCACAAAAAAGCCACGACTTGCAAACACAGGGAAGAATTACTTGTAACTTGTAACAGACCGAATGACACTTGGAAGACAGCTCAGAAAAGGGTGACGGAGGGGAGTGAAGGGGGATGGAGAACAGTTTGGCAGACACAGCGCCACCTTGTGGCCTCTGCTGGAAATGGTGACCAGATATATGGGTGATTTCAATGCTGTACAATCGACATAAGGTGGCGGGCACAAGTTAGAAGCAGTAAAACCATTAAAATAAGGCAACTTTCAATGATCATGTCCATACTGAGGGGGTGGTACGAGTCTTTTTTTTCCTCTCTTTTTATCATTTGGTTCTTTAATGTTTCTCCCCTCAATGTCCAGCCATAAAGTAAATCAAATATTTCTAATTTTCAGCCCCTCAGCTGAGAGCACTTGGGGGCTCCGTGGATGGAAATGTCAGTCGCTCGGTTCAAACCACTTTGGTCCGGTTGGATGTCAGGAGCAGCACGGCCTCCAGCCAGCTGCTAGTGGGGCTTTACAGATGCTCAGTCTAGTTCAAACTATTTCCAAGTCTCCAATCCCACCACACGCCGAAGAAATAATAATCATTAATCTGAGATCTGGGCAGGGAATCAAATATCTTTCAGCCAGCGGGACAGTGATGATCAAAGCGGGGTCCCAGTGATGGAGAGGGGGGTCAACATTGACAAAAAAAAATAAAAATTCCAGGATAGTAAATCGCCATTAAACCCTCCACCGTGTGGACCAGCAATGACATAGAAAAGAAAAAAAAATAAAATAAAAAATAGTTTGACACCTCATCCATTCTTTGCCTCATTAAGACAAAAGGGTCATTTATCCTCAAAAACTTAAAACTAATGAATAAACAGAGCCATTTAATTCTTTTCTTCCTTATTTTTCAATCAAAAATTGTTGTGAGACAAAAAGAAAAAAAAAATTCTCATGCTTGAATGAAGAGCTGGACGCCCCCTCCCCCCTCCTGTGGCGCAGAGAGAACCGGCGACTTGCAGACGTGGTTGAGTTGATCCGTGCGGGCCGGCGTGTTTGTGGGGTTACTTCAGTGTCTTGGCATCTGATGCGGGGTCAGCGGAGGGGGCGGGGGGGTCTTTCTGGCTGGTGGGTTTGGTATCATCCTTGGCTGCGGGCCCCTGGGCGATGGGGGCGGGGCTGGGGCCTGAGCTGGCCTGGCTGTGTGGCCGGCTGGAGGGCAGAGAGGGGTGCCTGCGGCGACCGTCCCCGCTGGAAGAGTGTCTTCTGCGGCGTCCTTCCTCCATAGGCGGCTAGAACAAGACATAAGCAGGGTGGCGGTTGGATGGAGGGTTGCTCATGTCAAGTTATAATGTACATCAGAGTTATTATCTACCATTATATCTGCGTTGTTATGTGTATGGAAGCAACTAATTGTTCTTTTACTGAACATATATGAAGCAAATAGCAATATATCAGTCTTAGAGGTCACATGACCCGGTCAGTTACATCAAATTAATCAAAATTAATCTTATTTTCAAAAAGGAGGTGTCATTTTTTTTTACCCATAAGGGTTGACATCTTTCCAGGGTCAAACGAGTTCTACCTAACAGCCTTCATAAAAATACTGTACTTACATCAATCCTGAAATCTTCCAGGCGTTTAAACTTGCTCAGATACTCCTGCAGCTTGGGATCGATCTCCAGGGTTTTGGCCTTGGAGTATTTAAGGAAGGCCCAGAACTTCTCCAGTCCATAAAGCTGGCCTGTGAGCAGGAGACAGAAATGCGGTCAGGTGGGGGTGAGAGAGAAACCTTTTCTATAAAAAGAGTGCAGGAAATCTCTGAGCAGAACACAAGAAAAACACATCTGAGGTGTGATGCATTCCAGACAACCGCCAAATATTCACCCCGGCTTTTAAGACTTTGGCTTGGGTCTCTTCTCACAGCAGTAAATTAGCTGTGAAGACCAGACAACAAACACCTGCTCCTAATGTTTAAATGTGTGTATTTGTATTTTTATTGCAAGTTTGTTAAACTCACGTTAATATTTCCATAACCATTAGAGATAAACATCTGTTTTTAGGTCTCCTTAAAATCAACTGCACATCAGGAAGCCAGATTCTTTTTATTCTTTGTAGTATAATAATAAAATACAGTTATTTAGGAACTTGTTTTTAAAGTTATGTTACCAATGTCTTTAAACATGTGACATCTGGTCTCGACTGGACGTTGAGCCCAAAGGGGCTATCTTAAGAGGCTGTTTTATCTAACTCCCTCTTAAAGTTGGTTTGTGCATTACGGACACTCTGGACTTTCCCCTAATTGAGCAAGAGAGTGCTCCTACAAGAGAAAAAATTAACCAGAAACTTTGACCTGTAAAATATGACAGAGCCTGACCTGAGATGGTGTTTCATTAAGAACACATTTTGTCTGCTCTGATCCGTGCACACTGTGCTGTTTGTGTCAGTGAACTCACCGGCCTCGTAGTCTTTCATGGTCTCCTCCTGGAAATCCTTAAAGATGTCTGGCCTAAACTTCTTCTCCAGGCCGTAGCTGTAGTACCTGAAGAGGCACTCCAATCCATACCTGCAACATGCACGCGCACGCACACACACGCGCACGCACACACGCACACACACACACACACACACACACACACACACACACACACAATCAAAACAACATTAAAGGAGAAAGTCAGAAAGAACTGAACAGTGGAAAACAACGTGTTTGGTCATGGCTTGGATATAAATCAGTACAAATACTATCGATGAATGTAACTAAAACAACAAAAAAAAAAAAGGATGACATAAATGACCACAGGCTTATATAAACCCATATTCATTACAAATGACTGGATACTGTGTACACGCCTGCCTTTAACACAGTGTCCATCCATCAGTGGTCAGGACTCTCACCTGTATCCTTCTTTCCCGTCCTCGACCACCAGCTGTCTGAACTCCTCGTACATCTTCCTGTTGAAGTGATCCCGCAGGAAAAAGGACCAGAAACGGAAGAGCGTATTCATCTCCTGAGATTGGCCGATTCCCAGCCGCTTTCGCTCTGTGATTGGTCGAGGGGAGAGAGATGAGGTGGATAGGTTGGTTTAAAATAAATACAAGATGAATGGACACAGGAAGAAGAAAAGATCCAGTATCAGTTCACTGTTAACAAATGCAGCTGAATAGGTTGAAGACAGAATTAATAATAAAATAGAAGAAGAAGAGCATGTGTACCGTTTAGGCAGCGCCGGCGGTACTTGTGGTAAACGTGTTGCGTGAAGCCGTTCTCCTTGAGCAGCTCGTGTGATGGGTGCTGGAACTTGGGGAGGGACTGAGGCGTGCAGCCAATGTTACCCAGGGCAGGGGTGCCCTCTGACGGGCTGGCGTTAGAGCTGAGAGGGAGAAAGGTGGAAGAGCAGGTGGAGAACAGTTAGTCAGCAAGTTAGTCCTGAGTCAGAGGTTGTTTTAAGTTAACGTTTACTTAGGAAAGTAGCCCTTCACTTTACAGTTAAAACATCATATAGGCAACTTTAACCATTAAAGAAACTAAACATAAAGCCATAAATGTTGCTTTTGCACCACATTCTGCTCCAACACAGACTGTGATACTTCTTCTCTAACCTGGCAAGGTAAGGAAAGTTAGTGACTTTGAATTCTAAGAGAATTTAAGAGAAACGTTACAGAGCACAGAGCAATGAGTCTCACCTGACGGAGGCGGTACGGGAGCGATGCTCTCTGGAGTCCATCACCCAGCCAACGTGACACTCCATGGGTGGGTTGGAGCTGTGTCGGGTCTTCCTCTTTCTGGGCGTCTGAAAAATTACAGATAAAATTGTGTAAAAGGCAGATTGCTACAAGGCAAGAACAGGCATTGGACCACAAAAAGACACATTTCAGGTCTGATTTCACCCTCACTCGGCAGCCATCTTACCTTGGCATCGACAGGCCGACTTTCCTTCACCACTGGGTAGAAGCGCGGCGTCATGGTCGCGTCCTTCCTGTGAGGGGTGCGAGGCGTGCGGGGCGTCCGGGCACTGCGGTAGTTGGGCGAATCAGGCACGGTAGTTGGGAGCGAGCGAGCTGTTGAGGAGGGCTCAGGGGCACCGAAGAGTTTGTTTGCCAAAGCGTCTGTGGGAACTGAGGACGAGAGGGAGAAGATGAGTTACACAGGAGCAACAGTTTAATAAACAATAAATAAATAAAGAAAAATCAGACAGAAACAGCTTCCAACAGGGTTGAAGCTCTTCCAGAACTGTTCACATGTTTCACGGACCATTTTCAAACTCAATATGCTTCACTGTTATTATCTAAGCAATCCTGAAATAAAACTCTTTAAAGTCATTAAGAGATAATCTAATGTCACAACATCAGTGATCTAAGTGCTTCATTTATTTCTCAGTGTGAAAATTCAAGAGTCACAGGGCTTAGGATTGATGGTTGTTACCAACTGAACACGAGGAAAGAAAGATGAAGGAGCAGGGCGTCAGCAAGTTTAATCTACATAGATTTATGGCTTTATAAGCTCCATTTGATGCCAGCTAGAATGAAAAACAAGAGCCTTTTCATCATGAATGAGAGCAGCTGTTGAAAACCAGGAGGCGTTATGAGAAGAAAAACAGCATGGCGACAAAGTAAATACCGTGTTGGCCCGATTTTTTTCCTTTCATGTTTGAAAAAGTGAGGCTGTATTATATTGAAGGACTAGACGATCATTTCTGAATGAAGAGGATCACTGGCTCCAGGAAGCGTCACGTCACGAGGTGTTTGTAGCCTTAAATGTTTCTGGGCTGACGAGTTACTTCGAGACCATTTACAGTGAGTTTTATTAAAGTGAGTTTAAGTGTAGAAGACTGAGTGTAGCCAACAGACATGTCTGATGAGTCGTGTTATCGTCTGCAAAAGCGTCTCCTGACATGTTTACTGCAGAGAGGGAGTGAATCATCGGCCCAGCAGTCAACAATTACTGCTGTCACTGACATGGGGCTCAAACAAAGTGTCTAAAAAGTGCTAACAGCCAGTGAAAATCCCTCTGGCTGCTAAAAGCCCGACAGGAGAGTGTGAGTGTGTAACTTATAGACAAGCTGCACCAAAAAAAAATAGATTTCATATTTCATCTTCACAGGAGAAAATGCTTTGAGAATGAGGACCACTGCTTCTACAGGAGTTGTCTGAAAGTGGTTAGCATCTTTAAGACTTCTTTTCCCCACAAACTGATGTTAGAGTCGTCTAATACTCAGGCCAATACAGAAAAATACAGGACTGTGTTTCTATCATATCTAACAATATTTAAGGCCCATCAGTTTTTGCAGTGACATGTGAGGCCGGGAGGTATGGAGGTGTATGAGAGGTGAAGTGGACAAGAAAACGTGCAATGGGTAATACGGACCTAAAAACCTCTTTGACAGCAGTTTACCAATCTTTTTACCTTCTGACCTCTTAAAATGGAGCATTGTCTACTTGTGACCCCTGGTCACATGCTGGATGAGTCAGTTAGTTGTGAGTAGTTCCAAAATGTGTCACTGAACAATTGTTGGAGGTCTGAAGAGGTAAAAATATACCGTTTTTCACATTAAACTAGCAAGTATCTCAGAAAGGTCAGAAAAAGCACATTATTTTGTGTAGAATGAGTCTGTTATGTCTTTTGTATCCTCCGAGTCATTTTGTGACCCTCAGGTTTGCTTTTGTGTCTCTTCGAGCTGACGAGATAAAAAGCCAATTAGGTAAATGTGTGATGCATTTGTCTTGTGCGCCTTTGTGTGTTTCCGTGTCCTTACTCTGCTGAGGTCGTGGGGGACCTGGGGGGACTTCCTGGTTGGGGTCGACAGGGGGTTCGGGGGTCAGGCAGTCAAACTGTTCGCGGCTGATCAGGTGGACCTTCTTGAAGTTCTCCACCTCTTGCTGTAAAAAGGGAGAAGATCCAGATCCAGAGTTAATGTGATGACCGGTGGGAAAACATCTCTACATGTAAAAAAATACTTTGACAAGGAGGGATCTGAGGGGTGTGTTGGCATTTTGGATAGACATGGTGGGAATGTGCCAAGTGTTGGGTGAACATTCCTAAAGAAACCCAATATGTTAAGACTCATTTCACTGTAATCTCTGAAACTAAACTCTCAGTAAAAACAATCACACTGGGATGAAACTCTAGATCTTTACCAAAATAATTATACAGAGTTTAAAAAAAAAAAAAGAAAAAAAAAAGTGTCCAACAAATAAAAAACAAAATAAGCTGGGACATTAAAGGAAATGTCAACAAATAGATCATCAACAGACCTTAACTGTAGCAGTCTGGAGATTGAGATGCAGCAGCAAAACATGGCTGCCAAAAACACTCTTTTCAGCCTCATGTTTGATGTCTCTAACTGTTCTGACACGACTACACCAACCAGCTGGCTCACATCGACACGAACCCTGAATTTTCCACGGGTAAAGACCTCACAATAGTTACTGTTCCTCCTGCAACAGCAGCTTATTTTAAAAATCACACCACAACAAAGCGTAATTAAGCAGGCCCTCAGCTTTCCATTGTTTCACAAAGATGATCAAGTGCAACTCACACTCGCCCCTTCATTCCACCAAGTATCCTCAGATCTCTGAGCGTCCATCTTTGTCTCCCCCTGCAGCTCGTCACTGCGACCCCTCAGGCTGAGGCCTTGTATGTGGGGTCTATTTATAAACAAGCGTCCTCTGTTCCACACGCCGCTGGATGTGTGCCGGCGAGCACGTGAAGGTCCCACAAAGAGTTCAACAATGCTACAATGGGGCAGCAATGACAACAAAACAAAACAAACAAAAAAAAAAAAACTCTGTTCTGTGTCGGGGTTTCCATGTCCAGAAACAGCTCCAAGTGAAGAAGAATAAATGTACTCATCATCTGGCCTTGGGCAGAAACACCGCCAAAATGACAATGAGGTAATGTGGAAGCTGTCAGAAGAACCCGCCTCGACTTACGATTCACTACAGGTCGTTATTCAACTCTTAAGCTCTGATACTCGTAGACGTTCTGGTCCAGTCCTCATTTTCATCTCTGAATTATCTGGAAAATCTGGAATTTACCCGTTTGATTTAATTAAAAAAATAAGAAACAAAGATTTTAGAAACAGACACACACACGCACAAACACATTACACTTTTTATGTTTTTTTTTTTGTTTTTTTTCATATTTGTACCTTCTTCCTATTTTGGTTGTTAACTTTCTATTACCAGAAGCATTTACTGTAAATATGGTGATCAGTATCTACTTGAAACGAAACACATAAGCTTTGGATGGATGGTGACATAAAGTCAAATTTAAAATTGGTTTACACCCATCTGGTCCTTTCAAAAGAAAAAGAAAAAAAAAATTCAAAAAGGAGGGTGTAAGAAGTGAATATTTTGAAAGGAAAAGTTAATATCGAAAAATGAGCCACTGAGATTTGGAATAAGCTAAAACGTCTGGTTTAATCAAAACTGAGTTTAGTACTGAAAAGACCTGTGTCACACTGACGTGTGGTATCTAACCATTACATCTGGGAACTGGATCTAATGATGCTGTTGAAGAACTGGATCTGCTTTGTCTGTCTAAGTGAATTAAATGAAGTAGAAAATGAAATGTCTTTTGTTTTGTATCGTCCTTTGTATCATAACTTCAGACAGAGGTTGTTAAGAAAAACAACAAAAAAAAAAAAAAGTTGCTTAAATTCTGAAAACAGAAACATGGACACTAGTGTTTGGACAAGAAAAGTGTTTTGTATAAGGAGCTTTTATGCTGATTTTCTGCATTTGACCACATCATCAACCATGACAAACGGCCTCACCTTGATGGTGGCGTACTCGGGCTCGTACGTGTCGTCCCACAGGTCCTGCTCGTAGTAGAAGAGCCCGTCGTTGATAACCTTGACCAACTCGCTGGTCAGCTTGGCGCGCGATGTGTGGTGTCCCGTGCGGTCGCCGCCCGGGTGCTTCCTCAGGTAGGGCGGCGTCTGTGTCACGATCAGGATCTTGTTGACGTCATGGTCGTCGATTTCGCCGTCCGTCTCCTCATCCGACCAGTCGGTGAAGGTGTTGCGCCGCCCGTCCATCTGCTCCATCTCCTCGTCGAACATGAAGTCCAGCTCCTCTGGTTCGTCCTGCTCCGCTCCGTCCTGATCAGAGTTCCAAGTTTAAATGACAAATATTCTTTGGTTCCAGCTTCTCAAATGTGAAGATTTGCAGATTTTATTTTATATTTTTGTAACTTAAATATCTATGAGTTTTTGACTCAGATTAAATGAGAATCTTACGTCACAGCGACTTAACATTTAATAACCTTAGTGATTAAATCAACAGAATAGAGGAATCAAAATCATTATTTGCAGCTGTAAAAAAAAAACAAAAAAACACAAACACTTCTAGTCTAAAGTTTTTTTTTTAGGGGAATAACAATCGAGAGAGTTCAAACACACCTTAATTCCTGGGGTAACAGGGGAGGGCGAGGAGCCAGGCTGCGGCACCGGGGAGCGAATCAAGTCGTCCTTCTCCTTCTGCTGCTGCTGCTGCTGGAACGAGGGGGCCTACATCAGTCAACCAACACCGAGCACACAGGAGCAGGCAGGGGAAGGTGGTGGTGGTGGTAGTGGTGGTGGACGAGGATATGGACAGAAGTGAGCAGATGGAGGAATGAAGACCGATGTTTAAAGTAAAGATGAGGAGAAGGCAAACTGATTTTACTGTGGTTTGACATAGCTAATTAAACAAAGTTTCAATTATGAAATTGACCAGACTGCTGCATGTGGCTGTGAAGATGAAATTCATTGGTTCTACATAAACAATGCTTGACAGCTACCTGCCAGCTGAGCTTTCAATTTTTAATGCTTTTGATGAAGAGTGAAAAATATGCAGCAAAGCCCAAAATGACGTATTCAAAGAACGGTCCAAAATTCATAATTTATATTCACATTAATAATGATATAAAACAGCAGATCCTCACACTGGAGAAGCTGGAACTAAGGAATTTTACTTAATGAATAACTTTTAACGATTAACTGATTATAAAATTTGTTGGTGATCAGTTAATGTTCTAATTGTTTCAGCACTAGTTGTTTGGCACAAACACTTTTTAACAAGGTTTAACATGAAAAAAATGAGGTATGTATGTAGGCTCTCCTCTCTGACTTCACAGGAATACATGTTTCTGCTGGGAAGTGGCCACAAGTCATCATGATCCATGGAAAAAAAAAATTACTGAATGGAAAACTTAAAATGATCATGTGAGTGAGTGACATTGTAAATGACACTGATGGGTTTCTGTATCCTGAACGTGAACATTCAAGGACCTCAACTACAGACGCTCCTGCTTCTTCACCGTCTTCCTAAACCTTCTGAAAACTTTTTTGGTTGGACCTGAACGTCACCTTTTCTGCGCTGACCTTGGGTCTGGCCGGAGAGGGTCTAGGCCTCTTCTTGACCTCAATCCAGGACTCAGAGTCCAGGTCAGGGAGGCTGGCAGAGAGGCCCTTGGGCATCGTCTTGAGGTTGGAGATGTCTGATTCAGTCTTGGTCTGCTGCTTCACTGGTGTGGAGGCCCTGGGAGACCCTGCAGCAAACACAGAGTCACAGAGAACATTTTATATGGCGCCCTCGTGGAAATGATGTTTCTTGTGATAGATCTGAAACAAAAGGTGATATTTCTCTCTTACTGAGCCCTAAAAGTCTAAAACTGCCAATTAGTTAAATTATTTTGACCCCATTGAACATAAATCACCTTCTTTCATTTTTAGTTACCTTGAAAAAAGACAAAAAAGGGCAAATCATCACAGCAGAAATCCAGAGAAATTACATGTGATTCCTTGGCACAGTTTGACCCACAGTTCAGTTCCATCTACAGGAGCTTAGCAGCTCACCTCTGGGCTCCTCGACCATCTGTCTTGGGACAAACTCGGGGCAGTTGATGAGCTGGGAAAAGTCGGTGTGGGTTTGGTTAGGCATGCTCAGGCCCGGCAGAGGCCACTTCTCAGGGTCCACCTTCCGACGGATTTTCATGTCGATCACCTCCACTTCCTTACTGTCCTTCAAAGCCTGACAGGAGAGATGGCGTGTCAGTTACTCTGTGCGATTACAGTGTTCACACAGTGTTCAAAGGATATTCTTCAGGCGTCTTTTACTTGAGAAGATGACAGTTTTTTTTTTTTTATGAAGAGCTGAAAGGAGAGAGATTTGCTCTGAGATAAACTACGAAGTGTGAAGAGGGGGTTGTGATTTTTTTTGTCAGGATTCAGACGACTACATTTTCAACTGTCAGATGTTTAAAACAGCTTAGCTTTTTACCTTTTGACAGTGTCAGCAAAAACCTTAAAAGTTCATTTTTTTGCAGTTTCTGTGATTTTGTTTAAACTGGAAATGTAACTGTTGTAGCTCATATTGTTCATTAATTTTTTTTTGTGATTGCATACCATGTTCTCATGATTTGTGTCTCAACGCTTCACTGGAACCAGGCAACAAGTTTCCAAAATCTTGAATTCAAGATTTATTCTGTTCTGACACTGTTTAAACCACATCATCATCATCTCAGATTCTCTATCTGCATCTTCACTGGCAACTTTTATCAGGAAAATCTCTGAGTCAGAAAAATGTGTTCACCTCCAGAATGATGTTGATGTCGGTGGTGAGGGCCTGCACTCTGTGGAAACTGGCGATGAGTCCGATGGGCAGGAAGCCCTCCTGATCCATCTTCCGCCGCAGGAAGAAGTCCCGCTCCAGGTTGTCCAGGCTGAAATAGTACTCACTACAGGGGTTGGAGAAGTGAGGAAACACATGGTCAACATTATCCAGTATATACTGACAAGTCCGCTATTTGTTGTTCCCTCACGGCTTTCTCTTGTGGGAGGGACTAAGACGTGAGGAAAAGAGTCAGGTGAGAGAAACAGAGACAAATGAGTGGGCCTCATTTAAATAACTCAATTAAAACAGAAAGCCTCACACAACCGCAATACTGAGAGAAAAAAAAACATCTTCTGAAAACACTGGAAGCAGAGACTGGTTTTCAACAATGTGATGTGAAACCCAAACCTTCCAAAGAACCACTAACCAAAAACAGAAGATTTAACAAGATTTCAAAGTCTCCGAGTCCTTTACTACAGATTTAAACTGAAGGGAGCACCGAGTGCACACAAGGAAACAGTTACACTCCTTCAGTTAAGCGCCAAAAATCTAAAAACTACTGTCTCAACACTCACACAGTGCTGTCATCTGGCAAAGATTGAATGCAAATGTGTGGTGGGTAAGTGGCCGAGTTTAGGGGAGATGTGTATTTTTGTTATAAAACTTCCCATAAATGTGCTTGTATGCAAGATAAACCATAAAAACAATTATGATTTGAAAAACTGATAACCCTGACATCTCCAACTCTGTCAGACCGGCCTTAGGTTTTGGGCATTTTTGCTTTTGTTTGATAGCAGCAGCAGCAGAGACACAGACTGGAAATGTGGGAACAGAAACAGGGGTGTGACGTGGTCGGGAGATGAACCGTGTCGCCCCGGCCTGACACATTTTGTTCAACAGACATTTGATTTATGGGAGGTCAAGCAAACTGTGGCTTCTCTACCATGCAGCAAAAAATAGAGAATATTTGAATTTGTTTTACCTTTTAGATCTACTGAATAGAAAGTTGGTTTTTGCTTTCATCACATTTTGGTTTTTCTTTTCTTGCTCTGATAATGTGACAAAAATCGAATCCAGGAAGCGATAAGAACCAAAATTAATACACAGAGTCCAATTTGATCAAATCTGAAGATGAACAAATAAGGATCAGATTATTTAATCATTTTACAACTCATACTGTAGGTAAAAGAAATATGTGAATGAAGAGTATGTATAACAGAGAACTCATTGATTTAACTTTGCACTCCCACAACAGTGGCCAACTCAAGCTGGACGCAGCAGAACCAGAAATAACGTCTGTTTTATTCCACATGTTCTTCCTCCTTGTCAGAACCTGGCGACTACATTACCCACAATGCAACTCGGCCATCGAAAGTTCAGTAAGAGATTCAGGTATGTTGTGGTAATAGTGATTAATGTGACTCAGCTCGCTTCAAGCACAGTTAAGGAGTGGGCAACAGAGGCGCAGTAAACTCACTTCTCCGCACTGATTTTTTTTTTTTATTTTCAAACTTTTACTGTTTGAACCCAACCACTGATTCACGTGACATCATCTGAGGCATATTTCAGATTTCATGTAGCTCTCTCTGGAGCCAGGAAAGACTTTATACAAGTTTAAGATCTACTATCTCCGTGCATGGTCCGGATCAAAGCACATATGTCACCAATTTTTTTTGTGTCAATTAAATTTGTTGTTTTTTGTTTCAATGCTGAGATCAGAGTTGTGAAAAGTTCTCTCCATTGATATTTAGTCAGAGAAGAGACATGAGGAGCTCATCACTTCTACAGCATGACTGATTGCAAACCTTCGTTGCAGCTAAAGCTCAATCGAATCTGTTAAAACGTTCCATGTTTTAGTGCCGTCTTGGTCTCGCTGCTGTAAGAAAGAAACTCAGCTTACATCTGCCTCTTGATGTAGTCCTTCAGCAGGTCCTGGTCGACGGAGTAAAGGTCGTTGCTGCTCATGTTGTCGTAGTAGTAGGTCACCGAGTTGCTGAACTTCTGGCCATAGGGTCCGTCTTTCATATCATACGACTTGTAGCCGTAGTGGTAGTCATAGTGACCTGGACAGGACAGACACAGAGATTTAGATCATTCTCACGCTGCACATTTTGAGTTGTCTATTCGAGTGACTTTGCTGTGAACTAAAAGTACATTTCATACAACATATGAGAAAAGCTGAGTGCTATTAATGCTGTTTAAACCATTTATTCTGACAGCTGTTTTCTGTCTTCTGATCTGCCAGTCTTCTCATAATGTCCTTTTTCATTGATGAATCTTTTGCGACTGAGTGGAAGCGAAAAGTGTTTTGTTTTGCAGTTAATCACAAATTTAGTATTTAGTATTCCATGAGTTAACATTGTGTTACTAAATCATTCCACATTTGGTTTAATATGGCCCGGGGCATTTGGATCAAGTTACAAGTAGATAAATTACCCAGATTTATTAAGCTCTGAGTCTGCACATTCCTTTATTGAAAAATCATCCCGTCAGCCATAATTTCATTTTTCAAAATTTGAGGAAAGGCAGTGGGATATGTGGGAGAGACAGGCTGCAGGAGCAAGAGAAAGAAATAAAGATGAAGGAAATAAAACTCATAGAAATTAAGAGAGTGAACGTAGTCAGCCTAAAAATGAGTGTGTGTTAGTGGGAGTGTACTGAGTATGTAGGAGTATGCACACATAAGAGCCGAGTTAATACACAAAGACACAAAGTTCATCTGCTCAGCATTAACTCTGACCGTCTCTTCAATGCTGCAGAAAGTCAACGTGTCCTCAAGACAATCCCCTCTCATTTCTTCCTCCGGGTTGTTTATAATCTTTGTTTTCTCTCACACTTTTCTTCCCTCTTATAAAATTTGAAAGGTACCAGTGTTTTCTCTACCTCAGTCTGGGGAGGGGAGCGAGGACGGAGGAAGACAGAAAACAAAGAGAGTGAGTGGAAGACGAGCGAGAGAGGGCGAGAGAGCGAGGGAAGGCGATGTGTACGAAAAGAGTGAACAACAGGGACGAGAGAGAGAGGGAGAATTCTGCCAAAACCAACAGGACTTCGGGGAAACCTGCTTCTCTAGCTGGATCCAAGGCCTTTCCTCATTCCAACACTCTCTGGTTGTTATTGCACATTTGTGTTTTTGCTCTAGCTTTGGTGAGGCCTGATCAGGGTCACCAAACACCCAATTTGAGAACAGAATCAGCCCCAACACAACAAGAACTACACAGGACACACAAAGCTACAGTTCTGTCGGACTGGCTGGACACCGTTTTGTTAAACCCTGCTTGATTTTGTTTGGCAAAGTCAAACCTTTCTACCTTGTAGCAATACGAGGATAGAGATTATTGAATTAGTAGTTTGACATTTTGGGAAATAAGCTAATTTTCTTTTTCTTGAGAGTTACATCAGAAGATCGATACCACTCTCATCTCAAGTAATCAGCAGTATTGAAGCCTCCTCTCTTCCACTGTGTGTTCAAATGGGGCTTTAAGCATCACCCCCACCCCTGACGCCATCTTACCTCTTTTACATTTCAGACTGTAAATGTTGAGCTGCCGCTTTCTGTGAGGACACTTAAAGGTTCTTCAGAGAGAGAGAGAGCGCTCATCTCTCTTCTCCAGCTAACTGACTTTCAGCAGCAAAACAATAACAGAGCGTGTTCAGCTACTCAACCAACCCTGACCTGCCTATTTTGGGAGGAGTGTTTGTATTTCTAAAGGACTGCAAAGTGACAAGTCACTGACAGTGTGTTGAGATTTCTAATCATTATCAGTGTTTATATCATTTACATAACTTAACCCAGCACAAAGGTTAAAGTGATTTCTGTTTTGTTTTTGCACTTCAATGCTGAGATCAGAGGTGTGGAAGTTCTCTCCAGTGATATTTAGTCAGAGAAGAGACATGAGGAGCTCATCACTTCTACAGCATGACTGCAGGTCAGATCTGACTGACACAATATCTCCAGCTGAAGTAAGAAGAGTTTTCTGCTTAACAAAACAGCCTTAATCTTCCTATTAAGATACAGTGTAGAAGATATGAGCTTATGATCACAGGTCCATAATACACTGTACGTATGTGATTTACGAATGTCACCGAGTTGTTAATGTTGGCGTTTAAGCATCACAGAGACACATTCTTGCTTCTAACCAAAGACATTTCCAGTGGTTACAGACACACCAGCAGCACAGTGGTGAAATCTTTACCAGCGCCCGTCAGTGCCAGCACTGTTTCAGGAAATAAAAAAAATAAAAAACAGAGGCTGACAACCACATAAGAAAGGCCAGGAAAAGAAAGGTCTATTTTTACACATTTTGTGAGGACAGAAAACTGGTGGTAAAGTTGTATTTTTAGTGTTTGCTTCTGCGAGTGAAAAAAAATAAACAATCATACCTCTCCCACCACCTCTGCCTCGTCCCCGGCCTCTTCCTCTCCCACGTCCGCGACCTCTGAACCCTCCACGGAACGGCGCCCCTTCGCTCTTCACACTGGACACCTCGTCATGATCGTCGCGCCATTCCCGCTCGTACTTTTGACTGTGCCAGTCTGCAGGGAAACCAGCCACATCCTTGATATCCGCACAAACACATCATCGCACCGGTCTAGCAGATCAAAACTAACATCAAATGAAAGCCAGTTTTCTGTCAGAAGAAAGTTCTTTGCAACTTGCAACATTATGCAGAAGAGCAGATCGGATGTCTTATAACACACTTTGTTTCCTCTGTGAATGTAAGTTATTTACACGTTTATTTGAATTGTTAAACTGTCAAAAGCAGAAGCTGCAGATTAGGAGCACACATAGATCTCTCTACATCCTGCTGCTGAGTCACTGCCTCAATCAGCCAAATGCAGTAATGTGCATCAATAGATCAACAGCTACAGACGCAGTCATGCAGACACTTTCCGTGGAATAAAATTCTGTTGTCCCATGCTTTCACACGTCAAGCAGCACTAGCTAATAATAACTCCGGGCATTGAAGGCTTCATGTAAAACCAGCTGTCTGGGATTTCTTCACGTCAATTCAAGCTCATTTTCAGATGCTTTTCTCCAAACTCTGCTGACATTTACTACCTGGTACGACCTGAAAACACGTTGCCTCACTTGCTGTCACGGTGATATCAGCGCTGCGTGATGGCATCGCAGACTCACCTCTGAGGTCGTTCCTGGCGTTGGGAGGGAGGCGGGGGTTTTCATTCTGTCTGCTGTTGTTCCTTGAGGCCGAGCGCTCCCTAGGACCCTCCGACTTCACCTCGATCATCAGGGGAACCCACTTCTGCTTGTTTCCTGTTTGTAACGACAGTGAGAGGAAATACAGTTAGAGAGGAAAAGAATTAATTCATTCATTTAGTTCCTAATTCAATTTGAACTTTTCATAAAACTAATATTTCATGAACAGACTTTTGAATCCTCTTTCATAAACAAAGTTTTTATTGGAAATATATTGAGAGTTAGATGAACTTTCAGCAAAATCAGTTCATTTTCTGTGTAAAATGCATTGAAATTTTGTATATTTTCACGCTTTTTAAGGAAAATACCTGATTTATCAAAAGCTGCCACATAAAATCTCTCAGGCCACAAGTGTAAAACTGCTGCCAAATACTGGCTTCAGAGCATCCCCCTACTGTCGACTATGTGAATGACACTCCTAACTATCTCTTAATATCCTTTAACTACAGAAAGAAAAGAAATACTGGTTAAAATTGGACTATTATTCTCAAGAAACAGGCACTGATTTAAACCCTTTTTTTTTCGTACAAAAGGGCAATGGCACCTAAAACCCTGTTTAATCAATTGCACCATCTTCACCATCCTAACCCTAACTGATGATGACATTTCAGTCATAATGCATTTGTTCTGCATATATTCTGCAGTGTCTATGGTAAATGTAAAATATTATAAAAATTTTTTTATAAAAAAGCCTGAAAAAAGATGCCATAAAAGCTTTTATTGCCAAATGTGTAAATTGATTAACTTTTATAAGCTTCTTACTGCCCTGAAAATACTGCAAGTATATTTATGTGTATAACTATACATTAAGAAAAGATTTTTATCATTACTGTGCCGAGTCTATTATTGGTGAAACAGCACTGACTCAGCTGCAGTACCTCTGCTGACCAGCAGGCTGCATCAGTGATCTGCTGTCTAGAATAACATGTGGTTCCTGGGTGCTCTTTGGATGTTTGGGTCAGTGTGTGACAGATCCCACATGCAGTGGGAGAAAGAAAATGACAGCCACTTTTAAGTGACGTGGCCCTGCGTCTGTCGGCTGACTGAGTAGGTAAGAGAGAGAGAACGAGGGAGGGAGGGAGAGAATAAAAGAGAAAAAGAAGAATATGGACCTGCAGATTACAGAGGTTACTGACTCAAGACAGCATGTAAAATACTGGTCTAATATTATAACAGCTCACTACAGTTTACACAGTGACAAATCTTGCAAGCAACATCAGCACACCAGTCCATGAGCGAGCGCACGCAGCATCAAACAAAAGACTAACATCTAAATAGTAACATTGGTTGGAGGTGACTAATTTAGGGTTTTTGTTGGCTCTGTTTGATTTTTCTTTTTTGCTTCAATGCTGAGATCAGAGTTGTGAAAGCTCTCTTCATTGATGTTTAGTCAGAGAAGAGACATGAAGTGCTCATCACTTCTACAGCATGTCCACAGGGCAACACCTCCAGTCGACACACAAAGTTTTGGTTTGATTGTTGCCTAAAACTTGACATTTTAAAAAAGTTCAGTATATGTTTATGGTCGTCAGTTCAACGTTTATGAAAATGACTTTGCTGCCCTTTTGTAATGTGTTTCAGTGTCAACGTCACTGTGGATTGTTAATGTCTGCGCATGAAGTGTCAAAGATGTACTCCCACAACAAACCTAACATTCGTCACTGAGGGTAACCATATTGTGAAGGTCAGAAAACACTCGCTGTCTGGCCTGGCTGGTGGAGTTTAAACTTTTTATTGCTGCCAAAACTGCAACTGGCAATGACAAACGTCTACTCAGTCATCTGCTGTAGGCTCAAATTATAAAAAAAGAAGAAAAAAAAAAAAAGGAAGAAGCTGAATCCAACTTCAAGTGTGAACACCTTGGGCTTGCACTGGTTGCATCTGGAGTGAACATGTCTACAATGTATTTGGCAACAACAAACAATGATGCCCCCCCATTTAGCATCGACGCACTGAAAAACAGCAAAGTTCACTGCTGATTTTGACGACATCAACAACGAGCTGAGAAACCCTGGGGGAAAGTATGCGAGAGTAATGGTGTAAAATATCTTCTTTCTCCTGCCTAATATTACCTTACTTCACACTTTTCAGGAGCTGTTAATTATTTCTTAAAGCTTCGTTTAACAGACACCATGACAACAAATACAATTTCTAACTGTCAATCAAAGATTATTAGCTTTAGTAGTTATAGTCAGTCAACAAAGAAAATCATTTTCAAGAAAATTTTTTTTGACTAACAGCTAATTATGAAAAACCCACAGAGAGATGATAAGGGAAACAATACTAGATTAAAAAAAAAACCCTGTCCTCAAAACCCCCAGTCTCAGCTGGAAAGTGAAAGTGTTTGAAGGGCTGGTTAAATTAGCAGGTGGAATAAGTACTTGAAAATACCTAAAAGGACCAAATACAATGTGGTTCAGGCAGACTGAACAAGTCTAAGTATATACTTTGTGGTTTAGGCTGAACTTCTCACCAGATAAACTTAATTCACTGATGAAATGTACAGAGCTTTGCTAGACAAAGATCTTTATCACTTGTGGGGAAAACACTGGCCTGAGGATGATGCCAGCGGAAAGTCCATGTTTGTTACCTCAATAAAAACTTATCATCTCAAATCAAAACCGTCCTCAGGTGCACTTAGTTTTGTGCTGAATGCCTACACTTGTATGTTAGCTACAGATTGGTGTTAACATGCTGAAGTTTAAAATCAAACTCACAACCCTGTTTGGATGCCGACATTAACTTGTACTTATGTTGAGTGTATTATCATTTTGCTTTTCAGCATGTTAACTTGCACAATCTCCGATCAGATTCACCTTTCTTCTTCGGCCCGTTCTTCTGGGAATCGTCGTCACCATTCTTCTCCTCTCCGGAGTCGTCTGACTTGGCCTTCAGGTTCTCCTTGCTCTCCTCGTTGCTCTCTCTCTTCTCCTTAGAGTCCTTCTTGGCTGTTGTCCTCTTGGGGGTCTGGAGACAAAACAGGTTCAAACAGATACAGATTTAGAAAATATCTAGAGACACATTTAAGCCCATCACAGGAGGCAACAACAGCAGAATTACACTTCATGTTATTATTGTCTGACAAAACTATTTTCCGGAACACATTTTTACAGGAAATGAAACTGACTGAAATTAGAGGCACAGAAACAAATTTACACATTGGTCTTTCCTGATTTAGCAAAGTGTAATCTGTAATCTGAGGTCAAAACAAGTTTCATTACATTTTGTTTTTGGTTAAACATGCACAGGATTACAGTCAGGCAATTGATTGTTATAAACCTTCCCCCTGAACAATGACCAATCATAGCTTAACAACCGTAACTAGCAAGCATGTATGCTAAGATAATTATGTCAAGCTTTGGATTCCTCAGCATGCCAACATGGTGGGCATGAGGCTCTGGTACGAGAGATACTCAGTATCCAAAGAGTATGACAGGTGGTCTTTACTTTTAGTCTTTACAAAACCTGAGACTGTGCTGACCTTTCACATGTGACATGTAGCTTTAGCTTCAGTCGTTAAGTATGATATCATGCATGTAGCCAGCAAATGCATTGTTAAAACCCTTTACAGGCTTCTGGTTTTTAAGATAGTTAGCTGGAGACTACGTTTTCAGCCAACATCAGTTTGGGGAACAAGCTAGCTGCAGCTTATAAAAGCTGCCAGTGACAGTAGTCATTTCAGCTAGCTAAATCGCTGCATGCTAACTAGAAATAAGAAGTTTCTTTAGTTTACCTCTGTGAACTCGAGGGCCCTGTTGTCTAAAATCACCAAGAATTTGAGTGGTATATGGAGGGCCACTGTTATTATTGTAACCTGCATATTGCCTGACAGGCATCGTAACTAAGGGGGGATTTGCAAACAAGTCAATTGCAGGAAATAACTAGATGTTTCTAGGCCAACATCAGAATCACAGCATATATAACTACCTTGTATAGCAGTTATCACACTAATTCAAGTATACAACCAGCACTCATTACACCAAGGGCAATATTTCAAATCTGTAATGAAAAGTGTAAACTAAATGAATCAAGAGCAGATAATTGTCATCAAAGAAGGTTTTAGTGTACAATACCCAACAATCTAGTTTGTAGAATAAAGTGGGATCAGTATATAAACAGATAATAAATAATAGGTTTTGCATTTAGCAAGGGAGGTTTTAGGGATTTTATACCCCCACGTTGACATTGCAAATACTACCTCCGCAGGGCCACAATAAAAATGAATGGGACAAAGCAGACTTTGCATGTGGTTTACAGTTGTCATTATCCTGTCTTTTATTCAGTCTCATTATAATGTGTAACTGCAGCAGAACAACACTACCTACTACCACTGTCCTCGAGCCAAGCCTGGGCTAACAAGCAGTTACGGACACAGGATGGCTCACCGAACATGGATTGCTTCTGGTGGTTATCTTTGCGCACAGAGCCGATATCTGAGTTTATTCAAATCAAACAGAGCCCAGCTGCTGCTCTGTGCTACAGCGGCTCAGCTATCAGCTACACACATATCTGCAAAGTTTGACACTCCTGAAGGGTTTGCATAGAAGTCATGCAAAGCATTTGTGTTAAGTTGGGTGAGTAACTAGAGGTACGACACGATTCATGACCCAAACCATTCTGTCCATGTACACACACTCACACACCTTGACATGCTCAGTCTTCAAGGTGTCATATTGCTGACTTATCTAATCGCACTGAACTCAAAGACCCACTTCAAACGTGCACGGTAGGTCTGAATAACATCGTTAACAGTGAGTCTCACCAAACATCAAACAACGAAAGAGGCACAAGTGATTCTGCAATGAGCACGGTCTTGGAATAAACTTGCAAATGTGCAAACAACCTTCATGAAATATACCCATTATGAAATGACTGTGATTAGACTGTCACAAAAATTATTTCAGAAAGCCAAAGGAACACATTTCAGATTTAACTAAATTAGGCATTTGTATTTATCACAGGCTGCAGTGGTTCTCATCCTTCTTCTCATTTGGTTGCTTGCAGGTTTAAGATGAATCGGTGTGTAATTACAGGTTAGGGCTTTTAATTTAATGCTCTGTAATACTTGACATAAGATGTGCAGGAGGCTCCACCTAGGCTACATACAAAATTGTCATAACAACCCATAATCACATTTTATTTTATTAGACTTTATTTATACACTTCTATTATTCCCATACTATTTCTGCCAAATGTGTAGCTGATCTTTTAACCCCTTCATTACTCGTTCATCTATCTGTTAAAGAAATGGCTTTTTGGCATTCAGCCACAGATGTCAGTTATGTAAATGTTCATTATGGCTTTATTCAGGTATGACGAGACCATTATGGAAAGAGCCAAAATGCTTGTTACTGCTCTTCTTTAAACTGCGCAAAGCCTACAAGAATAAAATTAGACATTGAAGTTTAGTATACTGTGGGCTAAATACTGGTTCAGTAACTTTATCAGTAGCCAAGTGGTCCAAGTCGCAAAGTATTCGCATAATTACCACAAAGTAATTATGAGCAAATCAGCATCTTTAATCTAAAGTCATCAGCTAGAGAATGTTCTGCAATTTAGGGTTGTCAAATAAAACTTTTCTTTGTTTTTGCTTTTATCTTGTTGCAAAAGACAGAATTTTTCACTTTACTTTGAATTTTCTAAATGTTCCAAACCTTCTTTTGATGTATTCTGAAGCCTTACATTTTCAAAACGAGGTGAAGGATGAGGATTAAACAGACAGAGCTACAGTCTGGCTTTTGATAACAGTCTTCATTATTTGACCAAAAAAAAAAAAAAAAAACATCTAATGAGCAAACCAAGCTAAGCTGCTATAACTATGTTTAGAGCTTTAAAAAGTGCAGTAGGTTGTGAACTGAGCCTGAGTCTAACTTAACTAGAGGGGAATATGGAAATGCTGAGAGAGACCAAACCGACATATCAAAAACCTGCCCGGTAACTTTAAGTCAAACTGAAACTTAAACCTACTTTTACTTTCGCTAGTGTTGCTGACTTGTGTTTACTGAGGTTCAGTACCAACAAGGGTATAGTAGCCATCTGAGTTTTATTAAACTAAACAGTGGCTTGTTTTTCTCACTGTTTTGATTTGGAGTGATTTTATTGTTGATGATACATGTGGTATTTATTGTATGGATTTGACTGAAGTATAATGTCATCTAGGCACCTGGACCCCATCATATGCAGTCTTTACATCACAGACGACAAAGAAACAAGTCTTGGACTTCCTTCTAGATGTTGACTGTTGTAAAGGGACAGGCAGTTTAGATCACTAATGGCTGATAGATAACTTTAGAAAAAGGCCTTGTATGAGGTGCACAACCGAATTTGCATCAGCTCATAAATCTCAAGCCCTCTAAGCTTAAAGCTTAGAAACTATGTCAAATAGACAGTAATCCTGCCCTTTATTGTGAAGGCAAGTATGACTTCCAGTTTTTTCTCTGTTTCTATGTATAATTCTCATAGTTTGACAACAAACAACCAACTGTTTAGCCACAGCAAGAAATCATGGCTTGTCTGAGCTGCTGGAGCAACATCAGAAAGTCTGCCATCTTATCAGTTTATGTACCCTCAATAAACAGATGCTGATTAACTAAAATGTGTTTACACTATGTTTATCCAAATGACTGATAACTTGCAGCATTAGACAGAGCAAAGTGCTGGATCTATAAACATCAGCATCTCACTGGCTGATGTTTTTCATTGCTGAGAGTCAATTTAGAAACTTTTCCGGTTTACAGTGTGTAGCCTAGTCCCAGCTTCCTGTTTGCAGCGAGGACTCACAGCAAGCTTCAACTCTGTGACACTATGATGTTTTTCTCTTTGTGTGGTGTAGGAATGTTTAAGTGTTTACTGGTATCACAAATCAGATACAGTGACTGAATATCATCAGGTGGGCAGGCTGCAGGTTTCTTGGGCTGCAGGGTGAACTTACAGTGAATCTCCATGAGTCTCTGACCTGCCTGACAGTCGGCGGGCAGGACACGGTCCGTGTCACTGCCTCAATCTGAACAGAGGGAGGGAAGAGCAGTTTAGAGAAGACAATGAGGTGGATGATGATGTGCACACACACACACAGACTATATAAAAAAAAACAAAAAAAAAACACGTACAACAAGCTCTAAAGCTAAACAGAAAATGAACATGAGATGTGAGTTTTAATGTCAATGTTTGTAACTTTTCTATTCTGATTGTTAAAAAATGGAAGCTTAATTGTTTTGATAACCTATGTCAGACATACAGGTTGGGTGGGATGGATTTTTACAGGTATTTAGAGCTTTGTGACTGTTTTTGTGAAAAGGTTCTAATCTCAGAGAGCCACCAACTGTTATTTATATATTTACTGAAGCTCAGGAAACAATTAAAGTCTTATAGGTAAGTTCTACCATGGCATGACATCACTGAATAAGGACCCTATAGACTATGTGAAACGAGGATGGGAAACAGAGCTGGACATTGAAATGACTGAAGACATGTGGCTGCATGCCTGGGAAATGCAGTCGTCCTCCACGAACTCCCGGACATGGAGAGACTACTGTTGGAAAAACTTTATTCACTTCTTTATCACTCCCAAACAGAAGTATAAACAAACTGGCTCTCGGTTACACTGCTGGAGGGAACTTGGAGAAATCACGGTTGATCATGCTCATGTTTTCTGATCTTGCCCCACTGTTCAGTCTTTCTGGAAGAAAGTCGCAACAGTCATCTCAAAAAACCCTGGCTTTTATTATCAGCGCAACTTTCACATCCCTCTGTCTTGATCTTTCATAATTATTGTATGTACCATGAATGATAATTTACTCTAAATTTTTAATGATCGTCCCATGACCTCATGTTTGTTTGCTTTTCATTTCTTGTCCTTTAAAATGTGAAATAGTACTGGGCTAAGTCAGTGAGTCCCGACAATCTTGTCATTTTAGGCAGTTGAGGAGTGAAAAAAAAAAAACTTAATTATTGCCCCTTTAAAAGCTCCTCTGTGTTGTGTTGCTCTGCTCAAAACATCATGAGGGCATTACACGTCTTCCTGTTGCTATCAAACACAATGAAAACGCCAAGAGAATGCTGCACAAGCTGTGGATAATAAGAAGCATCTGCTGCAGCTACACTCTACTGAGCTCCCTCTGGGTTTTATAAAGTACATCCAATATCATTTCAGTGGCTAAATGGCGAACGATGATGTCATACATCAGGGCAGGATTACAATTTTTTTTTTTTTTATGTTTATTGCTTTGGATTTTGCACAGATGGGAATAAGAGGCAATTATTTTTAGCAAGGACAGTGCGACATGATGGAAATCAAACGTTAGAGTAGTCGACTGTTCAAAGCTCAGGTGTGAGTGGAGGAGTGTGTTTTCTGAATCAGTAAAGACATGTGGTGTAACGGCTGTGAAAATGGAGACAGTAATGCTGAGATCACAGGGATGCTGATTCATTCTTCTTCCACCACAGGAAGGTACTGATGAAGCTGCTCTGACAGCCACTTTCACTATGAAAAATAAAGACTCTGAACATGGCTCCAACCTCTGACACACTGATCCCTCTGGGCGCAAAGCAGACAACACAATGGACTGAACCATAAGAAGCCAACTGGTTACATATGTTAGTTCTGGTTTTGTTTACTACCGCAACACACGAGAGTCCACCCTACGCAACACACTGTGGCCTGAACACAGACATGTGCTGTTAAGTGTTGTTTTTCCCAGAGACCGTAGAGGAAGAGGAGAACTATTTATGCCTGTGTGCAGTCCTGATACTTAAAGCTGTTGCCACTTAATACCCTTTTGATCATACCAGCTACCAGAGATGGCGTTGATTTGATTGTAAAGACAGAAAAACGTGATGACATAACTAAAGGGTTAAATAACAATCGGATTCCAAGTCTGTCTTAGTGCCAGTATGTGAATTGACAAGAGTGTGGGTCATTCCTTCTGTCCATGCTGGCCGTGAAGCAATCCCTCTCTAACTGCATCCTTAAGTGCAGATGAAACTAATGTGAGGCTGCAGTGAGAGGGAATTTTTTATTAAAAACACTGTAATGTTGGATTTTACCTATTTGATTGGTTTGACTCAGGCTTTGCTTATAATGTATTTTTTACTGTGGGCTTTCCCTCCAACTTCTTCCACTAGGGAACTGGAACTTCAACTTATAAATAGGTATGTATGTGTTATATTAAGATGGACTTCAAACTAATTTTGTTGAAGAGAGAAAATAGAAACAGAAAATATAGAAAAATAGAATTAAACATCTTATTTAGAGATGCAACAACTATTCGATTGACAGAAAATCAATCAGCAGCTATTCTGATGAACAAATAATTGTTTCAGTCATCGTTAGACAAAACAATCACTGCTGTCAGCTTCTCAAATGTGACAATCTGTTGCTGTGTCTGGTCCTGATGGTAGAGTAAACTGAGTATCTGTGGGGTTTGGACCGTTCACCGGACTCAACAAAGCATCTCTGTCTTGAGGAAACTGATGGGAACATTTCTCTGTTTTTTGTGCTTTATAGACCAAACAACTGATGAATTTAGAAAAATCAAGAAATTAATTGTTAGTTGCAGCCTTAATCCTCTTATTGCTTGTGATGTCTCACCAACAGTGCAAAACAGAAAAGCAGAAAATTGTCACTTTGGAGAAACTGGAGCCAGAAAATGGAAACATGTTCTTAGTGTGAAAATATGAACTAAACAATTATCGATTATCAAAATAGTTGCCAATTAGTTTTCTGTCAGTGGACTCGGACTGGAATTGTTTCAGTCCTAATACGAAAAAAGAAGTAATCCAACACATCCTGAAGATTCAGACATTGGAACTAGCATCATTAATCATTAACTATCAAAACAATAATAAAAAAAATTATCTGGAGAAAAGCCACAAAAGGAAATCCATACAAGCCCATACAAATCCATAAATGTAGGAATTTTTATTTTACAGCTATGAAAAGTAGATAACAAGATGGATTATTGTATGAAATATTGAAGTTCAACTTTAACTACAGCATCAGACTCTACAGCACAAACCTGCAATCAAAACTCTGCCTTTATCAAATTTCAGTGTCAGTGTATTAATTTCCCAGCGTGCCTGATCTGTGGAGTTCAGTGAGTGATTTACAGCTTGAAATGTTACGTGATGGACAGTGAACTCCGCCCCCCTAAGAATAGCAGCAGCACAGATCCAGGGGTGCTTTACTGAGGGGGGATCCCTAAAAGGACATCCCTTCCCAGGGCTTGGCCATCGTCTCCCAACTCCGCCCCTCCCACCCTTGATTTCTGCCACCGGACCCGCCGGTTATTCCTGGCTCTGGTGATGCGACCCACATTTTCATGCTCGGGGACACGCACTCTCCCTCATGTTCTAAAGACCTGGCTGCCTAAAATAGGGCAGGTTACCAGGGTCGCTCTCCTGGTGACACACTATCATCCAGAGATCAGAAATAGAAAAGGGCTCTCAGGGGTGACTGGTTACTGTAAGAGGGAACAAATTAGATGCATCCCCTGTCGGACCAACAGCTGGAAGGAAAGAGAGGTTAAGTATAGAGAGGAGGGGTTCTATATGTTGGATATATGGTTGAGGGAGCTATGGACACCTGAGCTGAGCCAGTCTAGACTAGAGTACAGTTCATATGCATCAGGTAAATGTTGGGAACACCTCTGATTTCTCCTTTTTTCGCTGTTAAAAGAAATAGGTCAATATTTTTGAAAATTTGATGAGAAGACTAAGAAATCGTTGTCACCAAAGTGATATTTTTACACATTTGTTTTTGTATGTATTAAACAAACAAGCTACAAAATGACAGTGACTTTCAAAGGTGCTGACCAACAGTCCAAAACTCAGAAGATATTTGGTTAAGAAGAGCAGGAAAAGCTCAAATTTAAAGTTGCAACCAGCAGATATGCTGTGCTTTCGCTTCATAAATGTCTTCAACAATGATCTGATTATTGATATAGTTGTTGACAGCTTTTCTGTTAATCCATCAATCAGCTATTTCAGCAATCTGTGGACAAATGAGCCAAGTGGGTTTAAACTAGAGCTGGGCTGGGACAGGTGTAGATGTTTAGGCCTAAGACTAGTTAACAATGTGTTTATAATCATTTGAAAATGAATACAATTTTGGTTGTCCTCTGATTGGACAATTTAGAGGGTTTTAATTCGAGCTCTCCATTTAACTGAAAGGATTTACATGTTAGAATCCCTCAGGTCTGAGATAAGATTTCTTCTTCCAAATCATTGATTGTCTTTTTTTTACTATTTCCATGGCTACTGAGAAAGAGGAATGATTTCAGAGTTGAAACATGTTGCCTGATGCCCGCTCTGAGGTCAGCCATCTTTGTTTTGTCTCCACAGAGTCCAAGAGGTCCTGGCATTGGTGGTGAGCCTGGACTAACCCTAGCACTTTAAAAAAAGAAACATGCAGTCCTGAGGACACAGAGTCGGGCCAGCAGACGCAGACTGCTCTGCTCTGTCTGGACGTGCTGTTTAGCTACTGTGTAATTACAGCCACAACCATTAAAATACCTATTGTAGAAAACTACACACATCCACTACAGAAAAGTGTAGCAGAACGAGCTGAGCTGATTGGTTGGTGAGTATAATAAGTTGGGACTTGAAGCTACTAGGATGCTCTTTTAATCAAAACCATCCCCCCTTATTGACTCTGTTGTCACCTATGTCTGTTCAACCTTTTGAACTTTTTAAAAAGGAGTCCAACCTGAGCAACAGAGACTGACACTAACGCCCGTCTGCCTCTACCTGCTTGTCATTGTTGGTATCAAGTTGTTAGTATTTTTTCCTGAAATTATACAGCCACAGCTCTTATGTGAACTTAGCGCTGCATGAAAATACCTAGTCATACACCCAATCACAAGTCACATAATCACTGAGGTAACAACTCAAAAGCTCTGCTGTTCCCAAACGGCGATCGGCTGCAGACACGTGGGTGTAATTCCTGTTTTCTCATCATTTAAAGACACAGTGAAATAAAAAAAATATGTGAACTTATTATGTTTGTATCAAAAACCCTCCCTTCCCTTAGGCATTTAAACATTTTTGATGAGTCATCACAATCCTGAAGGGGGGGGGGGCGACGACGACATAACTTTATCCATTCAAATGTGATTTGGGGAGATCAACCCCGCCCAACATACAAAACTGCTCTCGACTCTCTGCTCAAGGGACGTAGTAGTTAGCTGAGCAATATCATGTGTCAGATGTGTCAGATGTGTGTGTGTGAGATGGTGGGTGTGTTAGCTGGCAACATTTCCAAAAGAGTGCGGTTGAGGTCTATAATCCTCCCTTGTTCTCCTCTTCCTGATCTAGCAACGCGTGTGAGGGAGGTGTGGCTAGAGACAAGCAGTCCTCTACAGCTCTGTGCTGCGCCGCTGTACTTGCTGAGCTGCGCCCACTTTGAGCGATCCAACCAAATCTGAAGGATCTCATTTAAATCGCTCTTGTAACTTTGCCTCGCCCACATATCCATTCCAAAGGATTTTTAGTCACAAGGTCTTGATTTATAATCACACTCATTGACCATGACCACCTTCACAGCAGGCAACACAATAAATCCCTACTGTACAAGGTCCAGAGTTGCCCATAGGGTCAGATCTCTCTTACGGATAGAAATTTAAAAGAAACTTAACTACTAGAACTGCTAGAAGAGTCCAGCTATGCAAGTATTATGGTTGAAAGCCTTAATTTTTACATCTTTGTGCAGCATGTCTGTGGTACATTAAATTGTTGTGAACTAAAACGGCTGTTATCAGCCACTGCAAACATTCCCAGGCCTGACAAGCTGAAAGAAAGATAAAAATACAAGTCTGACACTGGAGCACATTTATTATAGAGACGTATTTCCTCAGTTTCACTACAGCCTATTATAAATGTATGGAAATTAGGTTGATTCCACTGCAGCAACTATGAAATATTGCAGGGATCCGAGTCCCTAACAGACACCACCCTCACCTCATCAGTGTGTCTTCTATACATCTATACCAACCTGTAAATCAACACTTCTCAAAACAAACACCAACACCTACCTGCATGTCTTTAGTTGCAATCTCCCCTGGAGTTGGCCAGCTGTTTGCGTCGCCAAAATCTCCAACCTGAGCGACAATTTAAAAAACAAAATGAGCAGGATTGCCACAGGTAGCAGTGAGGCGACTTTATCCAAGATCACACATTCAGTATGGATGTAAAAGGGTCAAACCTGAGGATTTTTTTATCACTATAATATGTGTAAAATATATGCAGCATATGGTAGGAGCATTTTCAGGAAACAAAAGGTGAAAAGAGTGTAAACAAAAGAAGATTCTTCTCTGTTCATGCCAAGTGCTGAAAACCAAAGAAACAAATAGGCATCCTACTAAATTGAGAAATGTTTCATTTAAATATTTTCATGACATTTTGGTGTACAAGCTGTAAAATCCTGAACAGATATCTTAAAAAGACACTTTTTCATCATCACTGTTATTCTAACTTCCCTATTGTCAATTTTAACTCTTATCAGCCATATGTTGCCTGTAGTTTGTCAGTCTCTGTCTTTTGTCCGTGCAACACCGCAGTTACCTCAGAGCGTAATACAGGTTTGCGGTCAAGGTGTGGCTAACAGCCCTTGAGTACTACAGCAGAGACTGCCATCAAAGGTATGAAGTTGTGAATGAAATGCTTTGAGGAGAGCGTGTTTGCTTTATCTGCCGGGCCATTGGCTCACCAGGAGCTCACATTTGCATTCCACAAAGTGTGAGGGGAGGATACTACACACAGCTTGAGGCATGACAGATAAACACCGGCACTCTGACCGCACATACCTTCACTGAGCTGTCTAATGACTGTGTCCTTTTTGAATTGGCCCCAAGTTTTTAAAAGGTTGTTTTCCCAAATTATAATCATAGTATTTTGGTGTATTAGCAGCAATAAGATGACATTCTCCACAGTGGACGTCTACAGAAATTAAAGCGCCCAGATGGTGATGAACAGCAAATCCAATACAGTTACAATGAAGCTTAACATTTAAATTAGTTTAAACGATTACTTCAAAACCACTCTTGTATCTGAGCATTAAGTATGAAGCTAGAGCCAGAAAACAGGTAGCTTAGCATAAAGACTGGAAACAGAGGGAAGTGTCTGCCTACCAGCAGCCTAGACATTACTATCTAACACGTTATAGTTCATTTGTTTGTAGGACACAAAAAGTGAAGTAAAGTAAAAACAATGAACTGCTTTGGTTTTTAATTCAGTAACTATGCTTATCTACTCAACTGAAAGTAAACACATTAGAGATGAGAACAGTGACGTGTGACTGAGCCAAAAATAAGTACTTTAAGTACTATATTAACCTACTGATGATACAAATATCCTGAATGACAGCACAACTTCCACTGTGGACAAAAGCCTATTTCTGCCTCTCGGTTATCGTTTCAAAATTTTACTCTGAAGATACTGTGAGCTACATATGGTTCATTTCTTTTTCAATTGGGCTGGAAACAGGGCAAATTAGAGAACCGTTTTCCCTTTAGTTTATTATTTTTCCTTTTCTAGTTTATTCAGCCCTCAGGATTCATCCAAAACAAATCTATGAGGCGGTGGAAGCTGTAAATTTGACACAAGTCACACTGCAGCACTTACTTACTTCACTTTGATTTGCCCGTGTTTGTTGACTACCAAAAGATGCCATGCTGGTACTCTTAAATCTTACCAATACTTCTTTAACCTTGAATAGAGCATTAATGACTACAATGTGACGCACACGCTAGCACAGATCATTACCTTTCCTCCACGTCTGGCTTTGGGTGGGTTCCCTGCTCGCACTACCTTGGCGGGGCCGGTCGATTCTGTGGAAACACATCAAGATGGTCGGCATTACAACTGGCTCTGCATACATGAACACAGAGCGTCTAAAGCCATTGCAAAAGTGATGTGTGGAGAAGGAAGCATGTGAAATGAACAGATTTTTTTTTCATAGAAAAAAAGCTCTGCTAAAAAAAAAAACAAAAAAAAAAACAGCTGAACAGACATCAACCAAAAAAAACGCATGAGATCAAACATATGATAGTTTGTTTTTCTGTCTCAGTTTTTCCCACATTCACTGACTTGCTTGTCTCAGTTTATTTGTCTGTGTTCTTTGTTTTAATTAACTTTTGCATTACTTGTCTTATCTACCTGTGGCAGGTAGGCTGTCAATAAATCATCTGATTTTATTTGGCTTTTTCAGCAGGTCTCAGGTGTGACATTATTTTCAGATAAACTAAAAGAAACATTACCATCCTTTTTCTGCCTTGTCATTGTTGTAAACAGATACAGCAACAATAACAACTCGTTTCAACAGACCAAAACAAAACATAACACCCCCACTAGAATACATGATCAGACCCGGAGCACATTAATTCAACGTGGAGAAATGTGGCCTGAAAGGACAGTTAAAACCAGGTCAATGGGCAGGACAACCAGCAGCATCACAGACAGAAAACTGTGAAACTCATGACAAAAATGTCCAGGGATCACAGAAACATAGCAGTGCAGACAGAACTGACAGTCAAGTATATCTGAAAATACAACTTTCCTCATGAAAACAAGCAACAACCAGCCCCAGTCATACCCACTCATGAATATTCATAAACCATACCAGCAGAACGGCGAGGCTCACGTCATCGTTCTGACCTGGCTTGTGTCCTACAGTCATAGATCTTACTTTCTGCTGTCTTTGGCTGCAGTGTCACCACACGCAGTGATATGGAGGAGAGAAAGCGGCTCACAGGGACTTTGCCGAGCCGTTTACACCAAAGAGCAAATCTCAGTAAGCTCCTTAAGGACAATCGTGTCGAGGGACAGCGCCAGAAAGAGAAGGGGAATAAAATCCTTGCCAGACTACATCTAACAATACCAAGAGCAGCAGTGTACAAGGGTTTCTTTATAGACATGGGTGTATGTATGTATTCATGAGTGAATTTTGTACTTCTATTGTTCTATTATTTTCTTAACAGACTTATAAATCGTTTTGTCTATAAAATGTAATATGCGTGTTATAATATCCAACAGTCTAGAGCAGGGGTCCCCAAACTACGGCCCGCGGGCCACATCCGGCCCGCCAAAGCAATTGGGGTGGCCCACTTAACGATCCCAGACAATCCCTCTAAACATCAACCAATTTTTATTAAATTGCATTTTCCTATCATAACATCATAACATATCCGTACTTAAAGGTTGGCATTCTAATTAAAATTGACCATAGTTATGAGCTATTTATAGTTAATAGTGGCTCATCTTCACCTCCTCACACAATGGTATATTCTGACGTGACTTTGATCGTGACCGAGCCAGCGTCAAGCTGCAAAGTTCTGAGGTGGGAATCTGTCATGAAGGTGGTTGTGTCCTGCATAAACTTCATCAGAGCAAACGGACTTAAACACAGGCAGTTCCAAGCCTTTCTTTCCAAGCTAGAATCAGCCCACGGAGACGTGCTTTACCACACTGAAGTCCGCTGGTTAAGCCGGGGCAGAGTTTTGAAGCGTTTTTACGACCTGCTACCCGAAATCAATGCCTTTCTCCTGACAAAGGGAAAAACTGTCCCAGAGCTGATCGACACAGAATGGAAATGGGACCTCGCCTTTATTAACAGATGTGTCAGAAATTTTAAACGGCCTCAACTTGCAGCTCCAAGGCAAGGGAAAACTAATCTGACATGTATTCCCACATCAAAGTATTTGAGCTTAAACTAGCGCTGCTTATTGGACAGGTGCAAAAACAAGACTTCACCCATCTCCCTGCTACTCGAAGCCTCTCAGCTGAGAAACCGGCGGTCCCGTTCCCAACCGAGAAGTGCAAGGACGCACTGGAAACACTGAGGGCGGAGTTCGGTGTGCGGTTCCGTGAGCTTCATGTCCACGTTAAAGAAATCCGCACATTCCAGAACCCTTTTGCTGCCGACATTAACGACACCCTGCCTTCTCTTCAATTTGAGCTGGCTGAGTTGCAGACCTGTGATGTGCTGAAAGACGTATTCAGCCCCAACAGTCTGATCAAGTACTATGCTGCCCTCCCAAATGAGACCTACCCCAACATAAGAAAGCACGCAACAAAGATGTCCACAGTTTTTGGGAGCACATATATCTGTGAGCAAACTTTTTCACACATGAAGCTGATAAAAAATCCGACGAGATCAAGTCTCACAGATCAACACCTGCATCAGTCTCTGAGACTGGCTGTAACTGGAATGGAACCTGACATCGATCTCCTCACCAGTCAGAAGCAAGCCCACAGCTCACACTGATATGGTAAGCCTACTGATTTCAATAGCAATAGATATTAAAAAATGTCATTATAGTAATGCTCTTTTTATAGGCAACATGTTCTACCTGATTCTGACCACTATTCTGTATTAATATTATTTCACTACCTGTAAAGACAGAACACTTACCGTTTGTTAACTCAACTGTACCTGTTACAAAATCACATCACCTCATTCTTACTTGAACATTACCATCAGTTTGTGTTGTTATTTTCTATAAAATAAATGGAGTATCTGTGGTACTTCAAATAAACACATGTGAAGACTTTTTATTACTTTTTTTTGCAAATCAACAGGTGGTGCCAAAGCCAAACGAAGGGCAGCTACAACAAATTATCATTGTAATCTCCACAATAATACTGGTTGTCACCCTGGCCCATATCATTTCCTGTTATAGACTAACCTCGGCCCCCCATCTCAGAAAGGAAAGTTGATGTGGCCCCCACTGAAAAAAGTTTGGGGACCGCTGGTGTGGCACCTCAGCATATGAGAGATGACCCATGGCGGCCCTTCGGAAGGGAGCGACTCAGAAGGCTGGGGCTGACATATGTTACTCAGCGTGACGAGCCGAGTTAGTAGACACCAAATTTGTGGACTTTTGACAAAATTTTTCGTCGCAGCAAGCGGGCCTCGGAGACGTTTAACGAGGCATCCCTTCCAGAGGGAGCGACTTAGAAGCCTGGGGCTGACATATGTTACTCAGTGTGACGAGCCGAGTCTGTAGACACCAAATTTGTGGACTTTCGAGAAAATTTTTTGGAAATTATTAAAACACAGAATTTAACCGTGTCCCCCGGCAGCATATGAGAGACCGCCCATGGCGGCCCTTCGGAAGGGAGCGACTCAGAAGGCTGGGGCTGACATATGTTACTCAGCGTGATGAGCCGAGTCCGTAAACACCAAACTTGTGGACTTTGGACAAACTTTTCAGTTGTGACATTCACACTATGTGACGATATTCACACGTCTTAATGGTGTGGCACCTCAGCATATGAGAGATGAGCCATGGCGGCCCAGCGGCCCGGCGGCGCCCCCCCCCCCCGGCTAGTGAGTGTAATTGAATATCTTTGGGTTGTGGAGTGTTGGTCAGACAAAACATCCAGGTACATCACAATCATGTAAATTTTATGGACTTAACAAATAATCAAAACAAATAACTGGTAAATGAATTAATAATGAAACGAATCTTTAGCAAACCAGTCAGACTGAAGCCTAGTTCAGGAGTCCTAAACCTTTAATTGGTCAAACGATCAAAACAAACATTAGAAGGGAGTAAAAACTGGAAAGGAAATATCCTCCACTAAAACGTAGGATGTTATGTCTGAGTTGTGTGAAATGCAGGCTTTGATAGCCACATGATGCCTGTGTGCCAGTGTGATTGTGTCAATCTTGAACTTTTTATGGCCTGAAAATCACAGCCATTTCTTTTTTAACCCTGTTGAGAAACGGTGATCAACTGGAGGTCATGTTTGCAGAGAGCATGACTGTGCAGCCACATGAGGACTCAGTGATGCATGAGAAGTATTTTACAGAAGTAGTGCAGAAAAAAAAAAGCTCGAGAGGAAGCAGGTGCGACCACTGGATGCTGGAGGTGTTCCCCATGCAGGCAATCAAATCAAAACTCATCAAGACACAAAACTGTCTCCTGAGCAGCAACACAGAGATATGTACCCAACAACAGGAACAGGAATCTAGGAGCAAAATTAGAAATGTAGAAACCCTACATTGGAGGCTGAAACCTGGGTGTTCTTTGGTGTAAATGGATGTGCTTGTTTACTGACATCACCTTTTCTGAACTTTAGACTTTAATTATTTGCTCACTTCCAAGTGACAAGTTTGAGAAATAGTGATGTTGAGTTCAAACTTCCTGACACTACACTTCTGACCTTTGCTTCATTTAATTTCACTAAACTGTGTCAGTCATGTGTTTTGTCAGCAGGAAGATTTTTCCAAAACTTGATTTCTATCAAGTTTCTTTTCTGTTTAAGGGCGCACAGTAAAACGTGTCAGGAAGAATTAAAGAGAGGAAGAAAAAAAATCTAACAAACATGCCACCTGAGCCCACAATAGCCTGAGGGTGAGGCGTCCTTGTCATTATCAGCACAGTACAATATGACAGTGTCTGAATATGAGAAAGGAACTGAGACAATTCTGTGAAAAACAAAGTGGCTAACACTCAGAGACTGAAAGTAGCAGTTAAATATTTGTAACTCATCATTCATTTTAGTAAGCGCATACTTCTTTATTAACGACAAGTTATTTGTGGCCTTCCACTTACTTTAAATGAAGAGGAGTATCTCTCTGGTCAAAGATCAGAAGTTCAGGTCAATTTTCATGTTAACAGTTTATAAAATCATTAGCGTCAATAAAATTACATTAAATTGAATTTTGATTTTGCCTTTCAGCCAACTCCAGCAGTTTTGCACATCTTGTAAAGAAGCAGCTCTTTTTGGTTCAATCCGGTATTTTTATAAAAAGCCCAAGTGAACTAATCCAACAGTGAAATGTTTGCTTTGTGAAGCTGGTAGTTTAAGCTCTTGACCTGCC